AGGTCGGGGAAGGCAACGATTTTGATTTTTTGGCACGGATTTTTCGGATTTTTTAAAAAATCCGCGACAAAAAATCAAAATTATTACCCTCCCCGACCTGGTTCCAGTTGAAAATAATTTCTTATGATTCCTGACATTAGTATGTTTAATAAATGTAGAAAAAAAATTGGATCTGAGGCGGGGAAATAGACATTGTTTCGAAATTTCTGAATTTTCGAAAAATCGGTAACAAAAAAAATGTCAAAATCGTTGCCCTCCCCGACCTGGTTCCACTTGAAAATAATTTCTAATGGCTTCTAATATTAGTATCTATAATAAATGTGGAAAAAAAATTGGATCTGAGGCGGGGAAATAGAATGAAACTGAAGTTACCAACGTTTGTTCGACGAAAAATATAATACGTAATAATTTCCATTTCCCCGCCTCAGATCCAATTTTTTTTCCACATTTATTAAAAATACTAATGTTAGAAGCCATTAGAAATTATTTTCAAGTGGAACCAGGTAAGGGAGGGCAACGATTTTGACATTTTTTTGTTACCGATTTTTCGAAAATTCAGAAATTTCGAAACAATGTCTATTTCCCCGCCTCAGATCCAATTTTTTTTCCACATTTATTATAGATACTAATATTAGAAGCCATTAGAAATTATTTTCAAGTGGAACCAGGTCGGGGAGGGCAACGATTTTGACATTTTTTTTGTTACCGATTTTTCGAAAATTCAGAAATTTCGAAACAATGTCTATTTCCCCGCCTCAGATCCAATTTTTTTTCTACATTTATTAAACATACTAATGTCAGGAATCATAAGAAATTATTTTCAACTGGAACCAGGTCGGGGAGGGTAATAATTTTGATTTTTTGTCGCGGATTTTTTAAAAAATCCGAAAAATCCGTGCCAAAAAATCAAAATCGTTGCCTTCCCCGACCTGGTTCCACTTGAAAATAATTTCTAATGGCTTCTAATATTAGTATCTATAATAAATGTGGAAAAAACATTAGATCTGAGGCGGGGAAATTGTTACGTTTTATAATTTTCGTCGAACAAACGTTGGTAACTTCAGTTTCATTTAAAAACAGGTTTTCTGGTAATTCCAACCAGAACTTTTTTTTCAGTGTAGATTTTTTTTATCGTCATTTCGAATATTTTCACACAAAGAGATGAAAGGAACATATTTTGTGTTTAAACTATTAATATTATTACACTGAGAAAACTGGAGTAATGGACTAAACATCTGGAGGGACAAATCGTTGATATTTGAGAGTTACACGGAGAGAAATTTATAGTAGTGGGTAACATAATTGTGGTTAGGGTGACCATCTTTAATGCTACGTATACAGACAGCTATCTAGATAGTCACCGTTACCATCAATATCATCAGGAGTAACATCTTGGTAGTAAGGGGTAGCATAACTATATTTTTTTTAGCATCTGTGATGGTTGGCAGTAGCATAATGATAGTATCGTGTAACATCATCTTTTTAACATCAAAATCTGACTATCCATTTCTCTCAGTGTAGCTATTGGATAACAATCTAAATGTTTAAATACACTATTGACAGATATTCGTGCCATTTCTCTTGGAGGGAAAATGAGTTTATAACAGAGGGACAAATTAACCATCTTGAGAAATCCCTTCCTTATCCGGCGCGAAATGAATAAATATGGCAACCTAACCTCTAAATTAAATACATAAAATGTCAGAAAAATAATTTCGCGCGCATCAGATCCATGGATATACAAGTAGATTTCCATTATCAATTCAAAATTTATTTTAGAAGGACTATTCAACTCTCTTCATAAGCAAAGGAAACATACACTTTTTGAACCTCCGAATTTGACACTCCAGTTTTCTCAGTATACTGTTCTTATCACTATAACTACTTGTCCGGCAATGTTAACATTAAATACACGAATAATTTTGAGATACGTACGCAATAAAAAATTAAGTATCGCATTTTAAAAGTATAATTCTCTTTTACAAAAATTTTATTCTTTTTGAATGAATAAAAAAACGAAAAGAAAAAAATGTCAAAGAGTGATACTTGAAAAGATTCTATGTATGCGCATGAAATTCACATCCCGCAAGGTATGAAATTCACATCGACATAGGTAAAAGTAAAAGTGCTGTACACAAAACAAATAAATAAACAAAGGAGAAACTCCAATCTAATAGCCACTTTTATATATTTAGTACCATCATCAATAATTACTTTCTGCAGTCTAAAAAGAAATCGGTTATATTACGACACTCAAAAAGAGTTTCTAATATCTCTCTAATCATCTTAATTGCTAATCTCTATACACATACACTGTGTAAAAATATATACGCTAATAATGCTAATAAATCTGTTTTAAAAATTAAATTTTTATTTTTTAATAAATTTTTATTTATAAATAAGAATTTTAAATTTGTAAGAGTGTTTGTGCAACTTTATCACAATTTAAGCGGAATAAAGGTGCCCTTACACGGAGAAAACTGGAGTATTCAACTAACTATCTGGAGGGACAAACAGACTATATTTGAGGTTAAGTTTTTCGTAACCATCTCGGAGGGATAAATAGACACTCCGATGATTAATTTGACTGACTCGGAGGGAAAAGTTAACTATCCAGAAATCAGGCTTAACACTCAAAACCTAACCCTCTAAGTTTGACTATCCAGTTTTCTCAGTGTACTGTTGAGATTCGGATAAAACTTGTTACTTAGTTGAATTTTCCTCATTTTGACTACTGTTGTGTTGTTACTAATGATTTAACTGATCAGGGTTGCCAAATATATTTAATTTTCTTTTGCCTGATTTCCAGGCAAAATTTTCACTTTTTCCCAGACCCTAAAGAATGTTCTAATTCACTCTAAAAATTATTAGATACTCAAAAAAAATGTTCTATTACATTAATTTGCGAAGTTCTTTAAATGTAAAATTATTCTAAAACATCAATAACTTCATTTTTAAAAAAATATTTAATCATTATATTATTTTTCCATTGGACCTAAGAATTTCAAAATTTCTAATTCAAACCTTTTGATATTCAACAACTTAAAAGAATATTATAAAACATGAAGAAATGGATTACTTCAAATCTTCAACTCGGAGTGGTCCATTTTTTCATGTTTTATTATAACAATAATTATCTAAAACTTTTTAATTATTTTTATTTTATTATTATTTTTTTACTATTTATTTAATTATTTTTAATTCATTTATAAATCAATTTTTATTAGAAAATTCTACGAGAATTGAATTCCTGTGAAATTTTCATTATTTTAGAAAATAATTGAAATTCGTGTAGAATTTCGTCAAAATTGTTTTTAAATGATTGAATTCTTTTGGAAAATTTTAGTAAAATAATAGATATATACAAATTATATTGAATTAAGAAAGAATTTTGAAAATAATTGAATTTTATTACTTTGGAAAAAAATTGAATTCTTGTAATGAATATTGTTATTTATGAAAATAATTGAATTTTGCAATGAATGTTTAAAGATAATTGAAATGTTGACGAAAATTTTTGGAAATAATTGAATTTCTGCAAAGAATTTTGATATTTATTAAGATAGCTGAATTCTTTTAAAGAATTGCGTTAAAATTTTTAAAATTAAAATTAATTTCAACAAAATTAAAATTAAAATTTTTTAAAAAATACTTCATTAATAGTAATGACATGACAACCCTGATTATTGTTTTTGTGGCTTGCCTGGGACAAAATAAAGAAATTATAAAATAAATAAAAAATTATTTAAAGTTATTAAAGTTTTTAATTTTAGAGAAAATTCTTCTCTCTTTTTTTTTTATTTCATCAAAAGAGGAAATTGTTCAACACTTATCTCAAAATTATTTCTTATCACAAGCACGTGCAATGTGTGTCTTATTGACGAAATGTAATCGTATCAGGAAACCAATGTTACTTGAAAAATATTTTTTTTATATTATTATTTAATTTAAGTCAAAGTATCAAGTTGACTTTGATAACTGCATTACATGAACAGATTGTAAACAACGCCTACAGCTGTTTATCGTGAACTCAATTAAAACGCGCTATATAACACAGATCCATTTCACTTTATGTCAACGAATATATCTCACATGATTATGTATATTTCCTATATACATATATATGTGTGCAATGTTGAATATATTTTTTCCCGTCAAAGTGTGAAACTCTATGGCGTTTTATATCCGTGCATCAAACGGAAAAAAAAGAAAAAAAATCTGCATATATTTCTAGAATAGAAACAGAAATGCGCTCTCTGAGCTTTTCCAAATCAACTGCTTTTTCATCTCTCACTCGGAAGTTGAGACGAGTGAGTAATATTCGTTTTTATAATATGAAAGTGCTTTCTCTCTAACACTCAATTGCCTGAAATTTCTACTTTATTATTTAATAAAAAAATTTTTAAAAGCAGAGAAATTTATCTCGTTAACGACCATTCTATTTTTTTCTAAACTACGATATAGGAAGTAATTAAATTACAAAAATCAATAGAAAATAATTTTTGTCTTTTAAAAGAGAGGAGAAAATATGCGGAAATTGTGTGAATTTAAACTGAAAAACGAGAACGGGAAAAAAACAGAAAAATAATCTTTGTAATGTACTTTTAATAAGTATATTCTTATCTCGAAACATTATGTAGGAATGCGATGTGAATTTGTTTGGTTATGTAACTTGACACTTTAAAGTCAGATGGATATTGTTTACATTATACGATTAAAATTTATCACTAACCAGTGGCATATTCTTAAAAAACAAGATTTCCCCCAAAAAAAAGAAAGAATTAAGAAAGTGCAATTTTTTGAGAATTGCAAAAACTGTCACATAAGAAGAATTTATCCTTTTCACTTGCTTTTGTAAATAAAAAAAAATTGAGAAATAAATGTTAGTTTAGGAACTTTTAAAGTTCCTTGACTTGCAGTCCTTGGGGTATATATTCTTGTTTTCTTATTAAAGGCGACCGAGAGATAAAATTGAATGCAAGAAAAAAGTTTTTACATACCTAAGGTGTAGCGACCAGCACTGTGCATTAGATGCATATGTACGATCTGTGGCGCGAACCGCGAATCCCATTGACATCACACGCGATAAAAAATTCGAAACACTAACACTTAATCTCAATTTACCGACTGGTATTCACACCACACGCACTCAAAAAAAGCACTTTAAATGATCCCAATAGCGCCGTCGGAAGATCTTGATTGACCGCTAAAATACAAAATACCGTACTCCAAAAGAAACCTTTTTCTCGTATAACTTAAGCACGCAATGTTCTCTTTTGATTCTCCACAGATTCTGAAAAATTTTTTCCGAAACGATTCACAATAATGGGGAGTCAATTTTCAAGGATGTCGTGACAAGAATAAAAACTATCGTATCGGGGAAGAAATTCTTTACAAAACCTTATTTTTTTCAAATTGTTATGACGTGTATGTCATATTATTACAACGGCAGTTGAACACCGATCATCACTATACGCGACCACTCAACACCACTTTTTCGAAATGCACTGTCAACACTACCACCACCACCACCGTTGTTGCCCCGTGCCAGCACGACCACCGTATGAACTTGGATTTAAGCTAACTAACCCTCTATACACCGAACGACTTTGAACATCTGCGCGGCTCGCGCACCACACTCTTCCTCTTTACGCCGGAGCTCACTTTCAGGCTATGTCAAGATGGACAATTATTATCACCGACCTCAAAACTTGATTGCAACAAGATTTCCGAGTGCCCACTATTATTTCATGTTCATTTCAATATTCCACCAATCACTTCAACTTTTAGACGTTTTCAATGAATATATTAACTCTCCGCTGGTTGACAGACAACACTTGAATATACTACGACTACATTCCTTCCGTAATTGTTAAAACGTACGCTGTTTTCGCGTAACTGATATTGGAAAAAATATGGCTCCCTCTACATTCCCAGAAACCTTTGCGGCATCTCACTCACTCGCTCGCTTTCGTGGATTATATGATGATGCATTTCACAAAAACATCAGACAAATTGAGCCTTTGACCGGCACTTGCGCGCCATCTCACCGTCTACATTTTAAGCTCCAAGTGACTTTACGTTTCACTCCAAGTGCGCGAAAATTTCAAATTTTCTTCAATCGGTAATTTCATTTTAATTATTAATTAATAAAGAAGAATAATAAATTTTCTACAATTTTTGAAATACTTTCAAATAAAAATACTCTATTTGTTCAATCGGTAGGGGAGACTGGGGCGAAAAGTTAAATTGTGAAAACATTTAAAATTCATTATCTTTCGAACGGAAATAGTTAGAGCATTGCAATTTTAATTATAGAAGGGTGTTATCACCCTAAATAAATGCCCGGAGTTATGTGACATTCTGCTAATTTTTGTGGTGTCCATATTTAAATTTTTTTTTCACCCTACTTTTGAAAATTTTTTCGTAAAAGAAAATATCAACTTTTAAGTATATTTTTTGCATTTATTCTCACCGCGATTTTTTTACTTCATTATTTGGGTCCCCTGAAGAGATACCTAAAGGTATTTGCTAAATATCTTTAGTCAGATTTTTTATATTTGTTGTTAAAGCCAAAAACGCACCCTGGGGCGAAAAGGTAAATGTATTTTACATGTTATTAAAATTTTTTTTTTATTTTTCGTTTTTTTGGGTTTATTTGTTTAAAAATGATTTATTTGACATTAGGCAAGTACTCTATCAAAAAACAAGACCGCTCACGTGAAATAAACCAAAAAAAAATTTTTTTTTTTTTTTGAAATTTCAATTTATTAATTTTATAACTATTCTAAAGCTTTTGTTAAGTGAACAAAGATATTTATTAACTAAATTACTTGTTTACGTATACTTTAACTTATCTTCTACTTAACACCTATCAGAAAATAGTTTTAGTTGGCTAAAAATAGAATTTAACTTTTTGCCCCAGCATGGGGCGAAAAGTTAAAAAAAACAAAATTTTCAAAAAAGGACAAAACATGTATTGTATGCGAAAATATCAGAAACTTTTTTATTGAAAGTTGTAGGGCACAAGTTGCCCTACAATATTGATGTATAAATATTTGCATCTAAGCGGATTATATTGTCTAAAAAAAATCATTTATGCAAAATTTAACTTTTCGCCCCAGTCTCCCCTAGTTATTTTAATTTAAATTTAAACAATTTTTAAATATTTAGGTTAAAAATATTAAAATTATTAAATTAAATTGAATATTATTGTATAATAAAACTCATTATTTATCTCTATGTCTACATATAATAAATAAATCACGAAACTCAGTTATAAATATTAAATTAAAATATTTTAAATAAATATAACATCTAAAATTAATCAAATTTTTTTATTAATAATATATTATTAAAAATATTAATTCAATTTGATTATTTTAAAGAATTTTATTATAAATTCAATTATTTTCAACAATTTTGATGAAACTCTTTTAACAAAATCATTATTTTCAAAATTTTTAATAAAATTCCTTCAAAAAAGTTAATTATTTTCATGAATAAGAAAATTTTTCGCAATGTAAAATATTTTTATAAATAATAAAATTCATCAAAGGAATTCAATTATATTCATAAATAATAAAATGTTTCGGAGGAGTTCAATTATTTTTAATACAATTTTAATAAAAATGTAATTATTTTTTAAAATATTATTTAAATTCAATTATTTTCAAGAGTTTGATTAAAAATTCAATTATTTTTATAAATTGTAAAATTTTAGGCAAAAATTCAATTATTTTTGTAAATAATAAAATTCTTCTGAAAAACTCAACTATTTTCAATACAATTTTAATAAAATTTCTAGGAAAAAGTTCAATTATGTATATTCAAGGTGTGTGTGTGTGGGTGTGTGTGTGTGTCACAAAAAATTGTGTACAAATTATCTCAGACAAATTTTGATGGATTGTCCTGATATTTTGCAGGTTTATTGCAGTCATTAATACCTTATATCTGACACAAGGATTTTCGAAAATATCTACAAAATTTTCTTTTATACATATAGAGACACCATTTTGTTGCAATGAAAATTTTGAAATTATGCAATAAAAACCTAAATATTATGCAATAATTATGCGATGAAAATAAAATCATGCTATGACGCATGGTTAGGTTTAATTTGTATATAATAATTTTTAAACGATTTTAATATAGTTAATAAATAATTTTTAACCTAAAAACAATTAAATGAACAATAATAGAAGTTTAACTTTGGCATCAATCGTGTATTTTGGAAAATTGTTACATTCTTAGTTAAGAAAATTTCATTTGGAACAGCGATAATTTTCTCTAGAATAGCGAAAGTTTTAACTGAAATTAATAAAAAAATTCACTAATATAATGAAAATTGTAATTGCTCCAAGTAAAATTTTTTTCCCGTGCATAAAGTTATTTTTATAATTAAGTAAAATGTAACATTCTTTTTTAACGCATTTTATATTATTGTCAGGGACCGATTCTAAAACGAAACTAAATTCAAAATTTACGTTCAATTTAATTTAGTTTCGTGTCAATTCAAAACTAAAGTCCGATAAACTTAAATATTTAGTGTCAGTAAAAAAATTACTAAAAAAACGAAATATTTCAATATTTAATATTGATGAAAGTTAGATTTACTTTTTCCACTTTATTTTCTATTGAAGTCTCTTTATACTGCTTTATATCTATTATTAAAGTTATAATAATATTATTACTTTAAATATTTTGTTTTTTGCTGTGATTTTTTAATTAAAACTAAATAATTGAGTTTCTCAGACACTTGTTTTCGATCTGCACTGAAATAAATTTAATTTTTTTAGTTTAGTTTCGTGTCGATTCGAAACTAAATTAATAATGTAGTTTCGAGTCGACACGAAAATAAATTCAGTACGTTAATTTAGTTTCGAGTCGACACAAAATTAAACTCAGTTTGTTAATTTAGTTTTGTATCAATCCCGAAACTAAAACGAAACTAAACTTTCGTAACGGTCCCTGATTTTTTTATGAAAAACTTTTAATCTTTTTAAAATGTAAAATTTTCTTTATAGAAATAAGTAAAGTAACGAGATCAGTCTAGAAATTGGTTTAAATCGTCTCAAAAATATAAACTTAGCATAGCCTCTGCATTGACCGGGAAGTAACAACGTTTAAAAATTTATTAAAATCATAAAAAAGATACTTTATAGTATTTTTAAACAAAAAATTAACAATTATGCGATGATTATGCAAATAGTGTTAAATTATGCAATGAAAAAAAATTATGCACTGAAAGTATAATTATGCAATTGAGCGGATGGGAAGAAGAACTCGCCGAGCGCTCGACCGAAAGGGATAGTTCCAGTCAGGTAGCAGTGTGTGGCCCAGAGGCACTCACTGCTACCTGACTGATATTATCCCTTACAACCGCGCGCTCGGCGAGTTCTTCTTCCCATCCGCTCAATTGGATGCGATCACAAATCACATTTATTTTGTATGAATTCTTAATAATTCACAAAATACAGAAATTATGCTCAGTTTGAGAACATTATGCGATTATGCGACTTGCATAAAATATGTGTCTCTATTTATACAATTTTTTTTAAATTCAGAAAAAATTTTTATTTGTATTTTTTGAAATAATTTTTTTATTTGTTAATATTTTTATTAATTATTCTCAAAATTACATTCCTGACAAGAAAACGAATCGATTGATGGGGAGAGTGGGGCAAAGGCGCTAGGTTTACATTTATCGATGTATATTTTTTAAATTAATCAATTAATTTATGCGGTCTTTGTTTTTCATTATTCTAAAACTAATCAAAAAGAAATTTTAATAGTTGTTATTTAGTATATTATAATTATAAATACATTATTTAATGAAATTTAAAAACAATGCAAAAAATGCCTTTGTCCCACACGCTGGGGCAGCGACGTTTTCGCTTATATTTCTAAAAGAAAGCATTTATAAGCCTTAAAAAAATTAACAAGTGATATTTATTAGTATAATATTTACGAAACATAAGGTTAACAACATATTATTAAAAGAATTAAACTATTTAAATAAATTATTCGTTTAATATTTAGTTGAAAAATAGTACATTGTACTACTAGTGGCGAAAGTGTGATTTTTCGAGAGCGAAGTTTGCGGCTCGAGCGTAGCGAGAGCAGCAATCACTCGAAAAAAATCATTCTTTCACCACGAGTTGTGCACTACGTTTTCTCCAACGCCTTGCGAGGAAAGGTTTCTTCGTGAGTTTCGTATAATTTTAATTTAACGTCTGCTTATGTTTAATATAATAAAAGACGAATGTTTTGAGTGGGGAAGAAGTTAGATACAAAATAAATCTCGGTCAAAGAACAAGAAAAAAGAATAAATTCATGATTTACTTTTGCCACGCCAAATTTACTTTCGCCACGCTGAATTTACTTTCGCCACGCCAAATTTTACTTTCGCCACGTTCTTCAGAGCAGTTAGAAAAGTTCTACTTTCGCCACACTTTTCTACCAAGAAAAGTACTCCTTTCAGAGCAAGTGTTGGAGAAAATTATTTTTTTCTCTAATTTACATTTATATTTAAAATATTTATATTCAAAATATTAATATACAAAATATTTAAATTATTAAAATGAAATATTATTATAATAGGTAGAACTAGATAAGTGATTTTTTGCATTAAAATTGTACTTTATTTTTTTAACTGTTTTTTTTACAAAAAGGAATAAACACGAAATATTTTCTTATTCAATTATTATATTTACTTCTTATAAATAGAAAAGAATATTGTACTGTAATTAAGCGCTTTGAATTATTTTTAAACATTGTCATTGCGAGTAAAAACTGTTACATAATATAAATTTTATTTTAAATTAATTACAAACAAAACAATTTCAAAATTATTATACTACCTATCCTGAGAATTTAAAAAATGTAAAATTTTAAAGTTGATTGACTCGTAGTTCGCTTTTCGTTGATATAATAATAATAATAATATTTAAATAAAAATCAAGGAACGTAAATTTAACTCAAACATTTAAATAATTACAAAAGTTCAGTCGGCAAAAAAAATGGTTCTTATGCTTTTCCAATACCAGTGAATTCTTTCAATTTTTTTAACAAATGTGTTGCATAAACCTTATGATCAAGGGGAGAAATGCCCATTATCACAGCTTTCAATCTGGTTTCATCCTGAAATTGAAAAATTAAATTAAATACAATTTCTATTTTTAATTGAAACAAATTGAATGAAAAACTTACTAACACAATTTTAATATTTATGAAAAAAAGTTTTTAATGAACATCTACAAATGATAAGAATTTTTGTGACTTAAAAAAATAAAAATTAATTAAAAATATCTTTTGCGAAAAAGAGTATTCTGAAAACAAAAACCAACCATGTATGTTTCCTGTTTGACTCGAATTTTGAATAAGAAGTTTCTATAAGTGCATTCATTCATTTTTCTTTGAAATTCATTGGAATCGTGGTCCTTTAATTCACCCAATTCTTGAGCAGTGCAACTCAACATTTTTTCACTTTCTTCATTAAATGCAGTTGCCCATTGATTACTTGTGGAATCTACCAAATTTGCCTGAAATCCAACAAAATTATTACAAAATATTCAATACTTTTTATTTTATTTTTAATCAAAAATTTCAATTATTAATTATTTAGTATACTCACATTTGCCAATAAACGATATTTAAAGTTTGGATATTCTGTTTGACATTTTTCACAATGATACATTCCGTTATCCTGATCAACAACCTGAAAAATAAAGAACTGATTAAAATTCAATATCTATGGAAATAGTATTTTAATAATTTTAATAAATAATGTGTAATTAATTTTTTTCAAGCAATAAATAAATTAAATAAATCTTTCTAAATTTGTTATTCTAAATTTTATTTTTGGAAATTATTAAATTGTAAACTGTTTTTAAGAATAAAATAAATGAACAGAAAGGAATTTTTTACAATTAAAAATTAATTTAATTTTTTTAAGAATATTGATTAAACATTGCTAAAATGATATTTTTCTCCAAAATTTTAATTAAATTTAAATAAATTATATATAAAATTCTGTATACAATGAAACGGTGTTATTTTATAAACAAAAATAAATTTTTAGTTTCTTTAAAATTTTGTTTTATACTTGTTGATTATGATTAACATTAAATTATCACTTATACATTAATATTGAAGGTGTTATTGGCTTCATCATATACTTGTAGTGAAAAAAATGTTAATATCTTAAACCGGGAATTCAAAAACTGAAAAATAGTAGACACCCTGATTAAATTCTATTTTATTCTGTTCAAGATACATTGGATTTTAAACCAAAAAGTGGTATTTTGTTGCGAAATTTAAAAGATTAGTCGAAAAAGTCGCATTTTTTGAAAATAAGGGTTCATACCACTTTGTCATCTTCAAAAAAGCAAAAAATTTTGTATTATGGATTTCGAAAGTAAAATATGTCAAAAATGTGGTGTAAAATTTTTAGAAAGATCCCAGCACTCAAAATATTTTTTTTTTCAATGCTATTTGAGCGCGTACACGGCTATGTAAGTATAAAGCACAAACTTTAAACGCGTTTTTCTCAAAACCACATTTTTCCATGCTGCGGGATGTTTTTCTCGGAAACTACTGGACCGATTCTCAAAATTTTTTTACGAAAATCTTCGTCACATGGTTGGCTATCGCCGGAACTAGAATTATTTAAAAATATTAATTTTTACTATTTTTTTAAACCAAAAAACTGCCAAAAAAAATTTAATTTTCGAAAAAAATTTTTTAAATTGCTGCCATTTTGTTATTTTTGCATAAAAATTAAAATTTCTAATTCGGGCGATAGGCACAGTCCTACTGAAGATAAATCAATTTGAATTTTGTGTTTTAGATTTTTCTAACCTAAGAAATCAATCCCGCAGCTGGCATCGGTATTTTTAGCAGGTCTAAAATTATTGTTTAATTTTAAATAAACAAATAATAATTTCTAAATAAAATAAGGTTTTTTATAAAGTTAAAGAGTGTATTTATTGAACAAAAAAAAATGCGGATTAATTTAATCCATAGGAATCGTAAAAAAAATTCTAGAAAATAGCTTCATTTTCAAGCGTGTGAAGTGGTATGAACCCATTTAAGTCAAAAGAAACGTCTATTTTAAAAATAATCGAAAAAAAGTTGAAAAAGTCATACTACCCAAATTTAAAAATTATTATTCATTCAGATAATAAATTGTAGTTATTAACTTTTGTACCTTTTTCTTGCAGCCCTCATTGGGACATGCTTTATAGATTGAATTGCTGCCTTTAACAGCTGAAATACACGCTTTAACCAAATACGTATTCGGTTGTCCAGGATAACCAAATTGCGAATCTTTTGAATCCTGAATCGTTATCCATGGTGCATTCATATCGCCACCAGCAGATCTTGAAATTTGCTTCACTTCCTGATCCTTTCCACCTGAATTGTACCAACCTCGCAATCTGCATAAAATTAAAAGCATCAATTTTAATTTTTACCAAGTATTAAATTTCAAGAAATTAACAAAAGAACTTACAATTAGAAACGTTTCTAGTTTAGAGAGAGAAATTTCTTATCAAAAGAGAGAAATTAGTAAAAAATAATCAGTTAAGTCTCTAAAGTTCTCTAAAGTTAAAATAAACGAAATTGAAATAAATATTTCTCCTTCAAATTTTACTTTAATAATAATTCCTAACGCATCAGAAAGTAAATTAACAAATCTCTAAATGTTTAATAATTAACAATTTTGTTTTTTATTACAATGAATAATTTTCGAAAATATTTATTTCGACAAAAAATTCCCTTCATTTGAAATTTTTGAAAGTTATGAACTTATAAATCATCCGTTTTTTAGGAAATATAGGTAAATATTGCGCTAAGACAAAAGAATTTCAAATAGAAACCAACTTGTGTGCTTCCTCGATGTCAGGATCAATTTGCAAAACAGTCGAACTGAGAGTCGAAATATTTTTCGCCCCATTAAATTCTCCAATACGTGCACCTTTAATTGCTATTGTTGGCGCATTTGAACTATCGAATTGCTCTGCTTGAGTTCCCCACAAAGTTAAACTGATAGCTGCATTACTTTCATCAACAACTGTGAGATCTCTTTTCTTCAATTGTCTGCCAGTCTGTCTTGCCGTCAATTCTTGAAGTTCTCCCGACATTTTTACAATACCCAAAATATCTTTGGAAACAAAGTTTTCTTTTAGTATAAACTTTTCAAAAAATTATACAAATTATAGAGAATACAAATATTATAAACATAAAAAAATTCAAAAATGTTGCCACAAAAATTTAATTTTGTTTTTCCCTGACTTTTTCTGATTTCCAGGCTAAATTTTGACTTTTTCCCTGATCCTAAAGAATATTCTGATTCTCCTTACTCTGATATTATTATCTCCCAAATTATTACAAAAAGAAGGCAAGTCGTTTTTAAATGATCAATCTGTGAATAATTTTCTTTTTGAAAATATTTACCTATTATCTCATCCTTATTTCTCTGCTCGATTGACGATATTGGAATAAAATTGAAATTAATCATTGGAATGTCGGCTTCCTCATGACAAGGAATCACTTCTGAATCAGCAGTTAATGTCATTTCGTAATCATTTTTCAAATTATTGAATTGCTTATTTGCCGGTTTCAAAGTGCAACGAGAAATATAATAGATTTTTCCAATCTGAAATTATTTTAATATATATATATTTTCTTATTTGGGGTCGTCCATAAATTACGTAAGACATTTTGGAGGGAGGGGTGGATCTGCTAAATCTTACGAACCGTAGAAAAAATGGCGCTAATGTATGTAAAAAATCTTACGAAGGAGGGTGGGTGGTCAAATTTTCCAAAAAAGTGACTTACGTAATTTATGGACGGCCCCTTTATTTATTCATATACAAAATAATAATTATTAATGAACAATATTCAGGCCTCGGATCGATTTTAAGGCGTAAAGAAAGTCGCTTTAGTCGATTAGAAATATAAAAAAAAGTCGTTTATTTAATTCAGTGTTGTAACAAAAATTTTAATTTGTATTTCCCTGATTTTCCCCTTTCACTGATTTTTAAATTTAATTATTCAAAAATTAAATAATTTTGTTAAATAAATTTTTAAATACTTCTTATTTGTTTTTCTATGGGAAATATAATAAAAAAATTATAATTTATAACCTAATTTTGAGACAAAATCTAGACTCTTTACTTGACACTAAAGAATATTCTGATTCTGATTCCTTTTCCATGGGAATTAAGGTTTTCAAAAATTTCAAATTCAAATCTTTTTGAAATCCAACAACTTTTAAGAACATTACTATAAAACATGAAGATATCGATCACTCCGAGTTGAAGTGATTCGCAGTGATTGATTTCTTCATGTTTTATAACTATTAAAGATGATCGAGTGAAAAAATTATTATTTTATATTATAAGAATATTGTTAATGGAACTTCTTCAAAATTATTTTTATAATTTCTGAATTTTCAAATCCATTTGTTTACAATTCAATTTTACGAAATTTCGATTATTTGGAAATTCTTTAATTAAATAAATATTTAGAAAATAAAAACTTTAAATAATTTCAAAAAAATTCTTAAAGATTTTAAAAATTCAATTATTTCTAAAAATCCATGCTATAATGCTTTTAATATTCAATTATTATGTAACTAGCACAAATAACGCGCGCTAAAGCCCGCGTGAAGTTTCTTGTTTCACTTTTAACACATATATATATGACAATAATGTAATTTTTACATTACATGTCACATGAAAATTAATGAAAGCGTGAATGCCAATAAGACGATAATGAAAAATATGTTCTTTACATTATTTTTGACTTATTAATTATCAAAAATAAATTACATTTAATTACAATTAATTATTTATTTGTTATTATTTTGTTTCTAATATTTTGCTAGTCAAAATTAATTAATATTATTTTCATGTCATTAACATTCAAAAATTCAATTATTCAGAAGAATTCTACACAAAATCACATGACAATTTTGTCAAAAGTGCTGGAATAATATTCAATTTCAAGAATTCATAAGAAAATTCTGAATGTTATTCTTCAGCATTAAAAAGATTTTATATATTTCAAACTCTTCCTCTTTTTAACAATAATTAGACTTTACAGATTTAAAATTGATTTTCTTAAATAATTTAATTTTTGAAAAACTATCGAGAAAAAATTATTTTTTATTAATTATTTTGGAATAATTTTTTATTTAAAAATTAAAAAAATAATTGAATTTTATGAAATTTGTATTTAAAATTTTTTTATAAATAATATAAATAAGTAGTAAATGTCACGCCCGCCAAACAAAGTATTTAATTTATTATAATTATTATCATTACTCAAAAGAAATTCGATTATGTTTACAAAATTTCAATAAAAAATTCTTCGAAAAATTTATGAAAAATTACAAAAATGTTATCTTTTGAAATTATTACAGGTGACAGCTAAAAAAACGCGCGCTAAAGCGGGCGTGTAGTTTCTCCTAGTATTAATAGATAATTAATAATAATGCCTATTAACAATAAAAACTGTTACTTAATCACTTAACTACTTAATCACAAAAATTAAAAAAAATTTCGTTAAAAATTGAAATTTACAAAATATATCACTGCTTTGCTAACTTTGCATAAAATTTTTTATTTGTGCCTTCAAAAAATGAATTTAAAAATGTTTTGATAAAATTCTTTATCAGACTTAAATTTTAAGAAATTTTAATTATTCAATAAATTATTTATTTTTGCATTTAAATTATTGAATTATCTAATAAAAATTTATTTAAAAATGAATTTCAGTTAAAGTTCTACATAATCATTGAATATTAAAAGCATTATAGCATGAATTTTAAGAAATAATTAAATTTTAAAATGGTTCCAAATCAAATTCTTTAAAAATTTGTATTTTTCATACTTATAACTAACAATTGTGTAGAATTAATTATTTTTAAAAAGTTTAATTGAATTTTTTTCTGAAATTATTTGAAGTATTTATTTTTTAATTCGTATTTAGTTAAAGAATTTCTAAATAATTTAAATTTCGTAAACAAATGGATTTTAAAATTCTCAAAGAACTTTTTTCAAAAATTATTAAAAATAATTTATTCCTGTGGGAAAATAATAATGATTAAAATTTATTTAGAAAAGAAGTTACTGATTTTAGAATTAAGGAAATTCGTAAATAAATTTAATGGAACATTTTTTGGAGTATCTAATCATTTTTAGAGTATCTAAAAGAGTATATATTTTTATCAGAATATTCTTTAGAGTCAAGGAAGAAGTCAAAATTTTGTCAAGTAATAAAGTTTTTCATATTAAAAAAAAGAAAATATTTCACAGGTTTTACATTTGTTAATTTTCTAAACTGTTTGTTACAAAATGCTAATTTTTTAGAAACAAAGGAAATAATGAATAATATAATAATATTAATAATTTTTTTAGATTAATAAAAATATTTTTGAATTATTTAAAAAATAAAAATAATATTATTAAATTAAAAGAATAATAACAAAATAAAGAAATGTAATATTATCTATCAAAACATATAAAAAAACAAAAGCATGAATTTTGTTGAAAAATCGTTATTTCATATTTTATTTCTATTTTTTATCAAAACGAATAAAAAACAAAAGAATAACCATGACTAACTTCAGGTGTGGACAGACTGGACAGAATGAATGAATACGACGATTATTATAGTTAATATTGTAACTGAAATTCATTTTTAAATAAATAAATTTTTATTAGATAATTCTACGAGAATTCAATTATTTAAATACAAAAATAAATAATTTATTGAATAATTGAATGTTTCTTAAAATTGAATTCTTTATCAGGGTCAGTCCATTTTATTTCATCTAAAGTCGTTGCGGCCTACACGGAAAGAATTTTGGGCAGGCTGCAGGCTTTACATGAGTGCCGCTAGAGCTCGCTGCCTCAAGCTCGCAGTTAACCTCAAAAAGGCTAGAATCTACTCCTGAAAAGTAAGCAGCAACTCCTCAGGGGCAGCTGCTCACCTTTCGGGAGTAGATGCTCGCTTTTTTGAGGTGAGCTGCGAGCCCTGTGCAAGGGGCACTAATTTCGGACATGAAAAGCCAGCAGCCTGCCTAAAATTCTTTCAGTGTATTTTTTAAAAAATCTCATAATTTGTAAAAATGATGTTTAATATTCATAAAATTCATTTTTGAGAATTATTTTATAAAATTTTTTGAATTTAACATAAAATTTTAATTTTTAAGTTGAGTTGAACAGAAAAAAGGTTAGATTGACAGTTATGAAAATTTAATAAAAACGCATGGAAATAATTTAGATAATACAAATTTCTTAAATGATATTTTTTAAAAATGAGCTAATTTACTTGAATAAATAGATTATTATGTAAACATACCCAAAATAATAGATAAAAATTGATTTTAAAATTTAACTATAAAATGTCAAAAGTCACTGCATTTTATATAAATTTTTCTAAAAAGTTTATAAATATTAAATAATTTATTACTACATAATGTAAAGTACTTTCAATGTACTTTCATATTATGTGCTAACTTTTTAATTTTATAATATAGAAATATGAAAAATTTTACCTTTATATATAATATTGACTTTGAGTGTTTCATGATTTTCAGTGATTTTAATTACTTATTTTATCTCAGGTGCAAGACTAAAAAATCCAATTTTTGTCTTAATATTTATAAGTTTGACCTTCTTTTCCATTCTATTAAATTTTGGTGATGGAGAACGAGCTATACTTTTCAGTTTAAATTTAGTTTAAAAAATCTGCTTACAAAAGCGAGTTTGTTGGTTAAATTGCAGGTAATTTTATAAAACTGAAGTTGGCTATCACAATAGTCTTGCAAAAATCTAGGTACTTGCATTTTAACCAACAAATTCGTTTTTTCAGCAGATTTTTTAAACTAAATTTAAACTGAAAAGTACTCGTTCTCCATCACCAAAATTTAATAGAATGGAAAAGAAGGTCAAACTTAAATATTAAGACAAAAATTGGATTATTTAGTCTTGCACCTGAGAAGAAATAAGTGATTAAAATCACTGAAAATCATGAAACACTTAATATTAAAGGTAAAGTTTTTCATATTTCTTTATTATAAAATTAAAAAGTTAGCACATAATATGAAAGTGCATTGAAAGTACTTTACATTATGTAGTAATAAATTTTTTTTAATATTTATAAACTTTTTAGAAAAATGTAATTAAAATGCAGTGACTTTTGACATTTCATAGGTAAATTTTAAAATCAATTTTGATCTATTATTTTGGGTATGTTTGTTCAATAATCTATCTATTCAAGTAAATTAGCTCATTTTTAACAAATATCAATCAAGAAATTTGTATTATCTAAATTATTTCCATGCTTCTTTATTAAATTTTCATAACTGTCAATCTAACCTTTTTTCTGTGCAACTCAACTTAAAAATTAAAATTCTAAGTTAAATTCAAAAAATTTTATAAAATTATTCTCAAAAGTGAATTCTATTAATATTAAACATCATTTTTACAAATTTTGAGATTTTTTAAAAATAGTCCGCAACGGCTTCAGGTGAAATATAATGGACTGACAAATCAACAAATTTTAATAAAATTTTTAAGAAAAGAATTTGTATTAAAAATAATTGAAACTGTGCAATGAGTTTTATTATTTATGGAAATAATTTAATTCTTTCGAAAAAATTAATTAAAATTTTATAAAATAATAGAATTTTGTCGACAAATTTTATTGAAAATAATTCAATTGTTTCAAAGAATTTTATAAGTTTTCGAAAACAATTAAATTTTATGAATTTTACGAAGAATTTCTTTCAAGTTTTTAAAAGAATCGTGTTTGTTAATAATTGCAATTAGAAATTATATTATTGATATTAGTGTTAAATATTTTTAGTTATAAGTGAATTCTACCAATTTTTAAAAATAATTGAATGCCTCAGAGAAATTTTAATATTCATGAAAATAATTGAATTTTTGAGCAGAATTTTTATTATTTATGCTGATAATTGAATTCTTGCCAAAGAGGTTATTAAATTTTTTGAAAATAATTTAATTCCTCTAAAAAATTTTAATATTTATGAAAAAGAATTGAATTTTCGACAAGAATTTTGTTAAATAATTGTTTAATAATTGGAAATAATTATTTTGAAGAAAATTTAAATTCTTTCGACGAATTTAGTTAAAATTGTATTGAAAATAATAAAATTCTTATAAAGAATTTCGTGCCAAAAATTTTGAAAATAATCAAATTCTTTCGAGGAATTTAATTAAAATTGTATTGAAAATAACTTATTGTGAGGAATTTTATTAAATTGAATTCAATTGTCATAAAGAATTTTCTAAACAAATTTTTAAATAATTGAATTTTTTCGACGATTTTTAATAAAATTTTTAAGAATAAAATTGTATTAAAAATAATTGAAACTGTGCGATAAGTTTTACTATTTATGAAAATAATTTAATTCGATTGAAAAGAATTTAAAATAATTAAATGTTTACTTAGAATTTTATTACATTTTTTTTCAAATAATTGAATTATTTTGGAAAATTTTATTAACATAGTAAATATTGAAAATCATTGAATTAAGAAAAATTTTTGAAAATCATTAAATTTTTGCCAAGAATTTTATTAAAATTTTTGAAAATAATTGAATTTCGAAGAAGAATTTTATTATTTGTGGACGTCCACATGAAAAGGGCCCATTTTGGCACTATTGGAGTTATCTATATGGGCGTATTCCTGGCAAAATTTGGAAAATTTTGAGTGGTCTTAGAACTTTTTTGGTTAAAAATTCGCTGAGTTACGGAATTTCAAAGTTTAGAACGCCAAAAACCTCATTTCGAGAAAAACGGAATTAAAGTTTGCGATACCAACTAATTGTTGTATCTCTGGTTCTTCTTGGAAGTTATTCAGATAAGAATTGTTTCCAGTTCAGGGAACCTTGAAGATAAAACACCAACAGGTTTTAAATTTTTAAAACCATCCCCCCTCTTAATTTTGAAAATACGAAAAATCGACAATATGGGCCCTTTTCTAAAAAGGACAGTTTTTCTATTAAAAAACCATTTTTTTTACAAGATTAATGATTAGGTACAATTTCATTGTGTCATTTGAAGAAAAAGAATAGATATTAAACTTATTTAAAATTTTTTGACAGTCTCTATTATGAAAAAATGTACGCAATATCCAAATTTTCATTTCGACAATTACGAAAAAAAAGACTCTAACGTCAATACCTCTGGTTCTTCTGGGAAGTTATTCAGATAAGAATTGTTTACAGTCCATGACACCTTAAAGATGAAAAATCAAGAGGTTTTAAATTTTTCCACACCTCCATTTCTAAAATACGGATTACTTTTGCAAATGACCGACAAAATGGGCCCTTTTCATTTTTCTAAAGAACCAATGAAATCAAACAGTTAAATTATCGATAAATTAATGAAAACCGCATGATTCGACTTGTCAAAACATGTAGATTGATAATAAAAAATAAAAAAAAATTAAGATTTTGCTCAAAAATTACTAAATTGCGATTATCTCGAAAACTAGAACCGACAATATGGGCCCTTTTCATGTGGACGTACACATTTATAAAGATAATTGACATTTTGACGAGAATTTTATTACTTTTGAAAATAATTAAATTTCTGCAATCATTTGTAAGTTCTCCAAAATTTAATTTTTTTTTAGTGTTTTTAATTAAAATTCTTCTATACGTCCATTATTTTTAATAATTAAGTAAATATATATTAATAAATTTAACTAATTTCCGAAGAATATGAATTATTAAAATTTTTCAAAAATCTAAGTTCTTTAAAATATCTAATTAAATTCATTCAAAATTGAAATTTTATAAAATTTCAAATTGAAACCGTTTGAAGTTTATTTATTTATGAAAATTGTAAACGCAACTTTTATAAAATATTTAATAATTTTTTAAATGTTTGAGTAAAATTATTATTAAAGAATTTCTAAGTAATAATTTTTTGATAGTTCTTCAAGAATTAAATTATTTAAAAAGAAATTATTATCAGAAATATTGAAAATTATAGGTTTTGAATTAGAATTCGTGGTAATTTCATAACTTATGAGGCAAACATAAAAGACACCAAAATTCAGGCTTTTCTTATAAATTCTAAAAATTTAACTTTTTCCAGTACTTTTAATAAAAATCCCTGACTTTTCCCTGATTTTCTGACTTTTCTAACCTGTAGCAACCCTGTCATAATATCCAAGGCCTGAATATTATTTAAAAAATGAAAAAAGTAATTTTCGTTTAAAAAATATTGTTGTAAGTCTGCTAATACTAAATAAATAGGGAATACATACCTCGATCATTGAATGAAACTTATCACATTCATTTTTAAAAGCTGTGCATCTAATTTCTCCACTTTCATCGACCAAATCCATTGAGAAAAGTTTTCCTTCACCGCGAGAATTATTCCACGTTCTGATATCCGATTTGTTAGAAACTCGAACCTTAATGACCCATCTTTAATAGAGAAATAAATTAATTCAATAAAAATCAAATATTTATGAGCTTAAGAAGAATAAAAAATATTTCTTTCATTAAAAAAAATACATACCTATTTTGATAAGGACTGAGACTTGATATTGGATTTGTCATAATTTGACTGTCGTTCGCTGTTGTATTTACAGAATTATGCGATACTGGCGCTATTACAAAAAAACAATTTTTGTTAAAAAAAAAAGAAAGTAAAACATTAAATTAAAAATTAAATAATATTCAAGTTCATACTTTTCATTGATGGTTTCGATTCAGATTGAGCGTTCTCAATTTTAGTTCCAGTATTTTCGAATTGTGTTGGATTTCCAATTTGCTGATTTACTTCAGAACCGGAAACTAATACTTCTATTCCCAAAATTACCATGACACCTCTAAAAATGTTTTTCATTAAACAATAAATTAATAACTTGTTAAATTTTTACCTTATTCTGATACCTAACTTCAATTCTAAGTTTTTTGTAAAATTCAATTGTTTTCAAAACATTTTTTTTAAATTGTTTACATTTGTTTTGTTCACATTTTTCTTCAAAAAAAAAATTTTTAAAAATTGTAATACAATTCTTTAAAATTATTAAAATTTGCTGAATAATGAATAAGTAAATTAATAATAAACTTTCTCCATAAAACTCACTTCTGCTGACCATTGTTGTTAACTTTGCTAATTGTGTATTGAGTAATTCGACAAATGGAAAAATCCGTCATTGTACCATCTGTGATCAAATGATTTAATTGAGTGGCCAACATTGTAAACGAATTAATATGTTTTCCATCGGAAATTAGAAGACGATATCGCTCAACATTACTCGTACTCGAGAGCTTCTTCTGACCCTAAAAATGCAAAATAATTACAATATTCAATCCATATCGTCGAAGTAAAAGAGAAATTTCTATTCCATTTTTTCAGAAATACATTTCATAAAAACAGAATCCTTTATTAAAAAAATTGCTTGAGGAACAATTTTATTTTTAAGTATTCAATAAATAGGAAAGTAAACATAAAATTATAAAATTGTAGAAAAATATATGTAAAATATTATGTAAACACAAAAACAAATAAAGTTTGTAACGCGTACCAAACATAACCTATACGCATAAAAACGAAAAAACCAAATGACAAAGAAATAGATATTAATTATTAAGTTTTAAAGATTAAAAAGCAGAATAAATAACTTACCAAAACTTGAATGATCGGTTTATCAACGTTTACACCGTTCATTATTTTCTGAAAAATAAAACGTATATAATTAGACAAAGAATAGCGTTTTAAATAATAATTTGGAAAATAATATACTCACTATAATCGCTCCTTCTGTTAAATCATACATTGTGAGGATTTTTTTAAATACAACAATACTATACAGAATTATTAAATACAGGAGAATTAAAAATTTTGATTACACAAAATAAAACGCATGAAAACCACAAACAATTGGATGCAGTTGCAGGCTGAAACACGATTTGTATAGGTAAAAACCTAAATTGGCGGGACTTGCCGGGACCCTGTAATTTTCCTAGTGAATAACATTTTTTCCACCAATCAGAATTGTCCTTTCTCAACGAACTCCTAAATAATTGGGTAAACTTTTACTTAACACGATTGTGAACCAATCATAGCAAACATTTTGTGGCGGTAGGCTTAATGTTGCCTAATGATTGGTGAGAATCGGCCTTGTTGTTTCCCCTCTTTAAGGTACATTCTCACCTCACTGCCTGCCTGCCTGCGCAGGCAGGCGCCATAAGAGTGAGAGAGAAAAAACATTTAATTTGAGTTTTCTGACTCTCTTACTCTTATGTGTTACCATGTCAACCTGCAGGCAGTGTGACGAGCGACTACTATCTCGCTCGAATCACACTTCGAGATTAATCGAATCACGATTGTATGTCGCGGTGAAATCAAAATTATTAAGAAAGGATATTTCCATTTATATTTCAATAAATATAAACCTGAGACTGAGAACGACTAAAGAATATAGTAATAATAAAATACCCAAACATATTTTCATGTTTTAACAGATGTTATTTTATATAGCTTAAGGAATGAATATTTCCACTTTTAAGAAACCCAAAAGTATTTCTAAAACATCATAAAGTTAATCTGGATTAAGAAAAATGTGTTTCTTATAAAATCTAAACTCTTCGATTCCTTCCAAAATTATCTGTTTTTCTAACACTATGTACAATTGTAAAATATACCCAAAAGTATACTCCTTTAGAAAGTCATAAAATCAGAACAGCTTAGTTTTATAGACCAGATCCTCTATTCAGGTAATAACTACCGAAATTGTACATCTAAAAACTTTCGATCCTTTTACCTTAAAAATTGTCACGTATTGGAAAAACCCAATTTTACATTACTTTTAGAAATGAAAATCATTCTAATAATTTTATAAATAATCTCAATTTATGTATTTCACTATTTATATTAATCTAACATTTAATCAATTATTATAATTATTAATGAGGTGACATTTGTAAATAAAATACTTTCAAGATTTATAGTTTAACAATTAATTTGTTATAACTATCATGACTATCAGCGCTGTATTATTTTATACAATATTTACTATAATTGTAAACGTATGTGTGTGTGTTGTATATAAGAGTAAATATGCTTATTATAGATATATATTTACTAGTTTATTATTTGTATATAAATTAAATTATTGAAAGAGTTATAGTATGATAAAGATAACGAATAATATTATTATGACGAATGTGTCTGTATCTACACCAATAAGTATGACGTATGAGACTGTATTTGTGTTAGTGAAGTGCATAAAAGTGTATAGTAAAGTGGGGGATGCGCGTCACTTTGAACATGCGCACTTCCCTCAACATGGACTAACAGCTGAGAACAACTCTGCTAGACTATAATGGAGAGTCCACAATAGGTGCAAAAGGCAAGAAGTGCAAGTGCGAACCAATGCTAAATGTATAGGAATCGCACTTGCACTTGGACTTGCTACCTACATATTTGCACATATTGTGGATTCTCCATAAAGTCCAACGCACAATAGGTTCGCGAAAGTCGTTCGCGAACGAGACGCATGAGATAGACAAGGACACAAATATATCTCTTTCCTTTTCTAACTCATGCTTTGCGTTCGCGAACGACTTTCGCGAAACTATTGTGCTTAGGCCTTAACTACAAGACTAGAAGTTAGATCTAAGTTGACGGTTGACTGACAAGGTTGCTTCGTTTGTTTCCTTAGTCATTTTGTACTCTTGAACTTTTTATTAAATAAATTATTTGGGTTTACTCTCAAGAGGACTGATTTCCATCAATAATTAATATTATTAATTATTGATTGATCCATTCTGCTTGAGAGGTTTTTCCCTCCGTTTTAACGGAATATTATTGTTTTATCATTTGTAATTCCCGGTTCCTCTTAAGGATTCAGCCAAAGTATGAACTCAACCTTGAACTCAACGAATTATAATTGAGCACGCTGAGTTTGCGCATAAAACTCATATGTGCACGTAACACATCAGAGTCAAGTCCAACGCACAATAAGTTCGCGAAAGTCGTTCGCGAACGAGACGCATGAGATAGACAAGGACACAAATATATCTCTGTCCTTTTCTAACTCATGTTTTGCGTTCGCGAACGACTTTCGCGAACCTATTGTGCTTAGGCCTTTATACATGTGATTCGCGTCATTTGTGGTTTTTATTTAGCTGTTGAAAAATGTACAAGTGTTTTTATTGTGCGTACAAGTATTTTTTCTCTTATAATAAAAATAATAAAAATTACAATTTTTAATAAATAATTGTACCATGTGTATATGTGTGTTTGTGATTAAAATAAAGTGACATTTATATATTTGTTTGTTATGCATTTATTATAAGAATAAATCGTATTTCAATACTTACCTATATATATATACCCCCACAGCACCGTAACATTCCTAAAAATTTATTAAACAGTTACTTGAAATGTTCGGAATATGTAATTGCAATGTTTATTGAAAGTTGTGTAAAGAACAATTTTCACTAAACATTTCAGTTAGATATGCCGAATATTACAAGTAAATATTCAATAAATTTTTAGGAAAGTTTCGGTGCTGTGGGGGTATATATATATTTTTTTTTTAAAAATGGTTTTCATATATGACCGTAAATACGACCCTAAATACGGGCATAAATACGGCTGTATTTGCTGTTTCAATTACACTACCTTTCTAAGGCTCGTATTTAGGGTCATATTCACAGTCATATTTACGCTCGTACACTGAAAAAAAAATTATTTGAATCAAATAAAAATTATTCGATTCAAATAAATTATTTATTTGGTTGTAATCCAATAAATGTGTATTTGAACCAAATACATAAATATTTGAACTAAATATTTTATATTATCGCACCAAATAATTGTTTATTTGAATTAAATACAACTAATTCAAATCAAATAAATAGAATATTTGAATCTAATAAATGATTATTTGAATCAAATTCAAAATATATTCAACTCAAATATATATTTATTTGACCCGAATATTTTATTTAATTGTATCAAATAACTATTTATTTGAATCAAATACAACTAATACAAATCAAATAAATAAAATATTTGAATCTAATAAATGATTATTTGAATCAAATTCAAAATATATTCAACTCAAATATATATATATTTATTTGACCTGAATATTTTATTTAATTGTATTAAATAACTATTTATTTAAATCAAATTCAAATTATTTTAATCAAATAAATCGAATATTTTAATGTAATAAATAATTATTTGAATCAAGTATGAAAATCATTTCATTCAATATTGATAATTTCAACATCAACAAATATTAATAAAAAAAATAACTAATTGCAAAAGATAAATACTGATGACAATTCATTGATAGTTCACTTTCACATTTTTTTATACACTTAAACGCAATTTTTATTACATACACATTTGAAAAATCCTAACGCTTGGGGGTACGAACCCACGCCTAACCGAATATTCACGCACCGAAGTCACGCACGCTAACCACTATACTACGCTCGCATGGGACTCTCAAATCTTAAATACTCTCAAGTGTCACTAGCTCAAATAAAACTTGTAGAATTACTACAAGGCAGTGAACAATTTTGCCGCTATATTTTCAATACTTTATTCAATGTATATTTACGAATATATTTCAATATTTCTTTAAAAAATCAACTTATTGGAATATTTTTATTTATATATTTTTTAATAATATTAAATATTATGTCAATAATAATAAATTTATATAGTAATAATATAAATTTATTTGTAATAATTATAAATAAAATAAATTTATTGTGTCAAATAATTTTTATTTGCATCAAAAAAACGAAATATTTGGGTAAAATAAATGAATGAATAGTTTCAAGTAACTCATTATTTTCGTTTCAAATAATTATTTAATTGATTGAAATATTTTTTTATTTATCTTGATAAAATGTATATTAGCTTTGAATAATGAATTATTCGGATTAAATATTTCAGTCTATTAGAATCAATAAAATAAATTTACTGAATCAAATAATTCTTACTTGCATCAAATAAATGAAGTATTTGAGTAAAATAAATGAAAGAGCAGTTTCAAATAATTCATTATTTTCGTTTCAAATAATTATTTAATTGATTGAAATATTTTTTTATTTGTCTTGATAAAATATTATGTTAGCTTTGAATAATAAATTATTCGGAGCAAATAATTCCGCTTATTAGAATCAATAAAATAAATTTATTGTGTCAAATAATTTTTATTTGCATCAAATTAACGAAGTATTTGAGTGAAATAAATGAAAGAATAGTTTCAAATAATTCAATATTTGTATTAAATAAATTTATTTATTCAATTCAATTAACTATTTATTTGAATCAAGTACGATTTATTTGGTTCAAATAAGTATAATTCAAATAATTGCAGATATTTAAATCAAATACATATTTTTTTGATCCAACTAATAAAACTAATCAATTAAAGGCCAACGCAGAATAGATCTGTAACCGGAACCGCAATAGTAAGCGTAACCGTAAGAATGAGTTAAAGAAGGATAGGTATATTGTTTATCCTTCTCTAACTCAATCTTACGCTTACGGTTACGATTGCGGTTCCGGTTACAGATCTATTCTGCGTTGGCCTTAAATATTTTTCAAATAATTTGAATTATTTGAATCAAATAAATTTTTTTTTTCAGTGTATTTACAGTCGTTCTTTTTCAGTAGGGTTCAAGTATTATTTTTAATTTAATATTTAATTGTAAAATAATTATTAGCAAAATATGAACATTAATCTTTTTTTCTAAATATTTTTGTGTCAATATTGCTGCGTCATTTTTAATTAATTTACTAAGTGAAAAATTTTTTTTCGTTGATCAACGTTGTGGACTTCAACTTGGTCCCTAAAACTGAAAATAATTAATAAATTTCATTTTTTATATATTTACATATTAATAATTATACTTAATAGGTAGATTTTATACATGTATAAATATTA